TTACTATTACTACTACTACTGCTGTTAGTACTACTACTACCAATATTACTGTTACTACTACTACTGCTGCTGTTATTACTACTACTACCAATATTACTATTACTACTACTACTGCTGTTAGTACTGCTACTACTACAATATTACTATTACTACTACTACTGCTGTTAGTACTACTTCTACTACAACATTACTATTACTACTATTGCTGCTGCTAGTACTACTACTACCAATATTACTATCACTACTACTACTGCTGTTAGTACCACTACTACAATATTACTATTACTACTACTGCTGCTGTTAGTACTACTACTACCAATAATGCTATTACTACTACTACTGCTGTTAGTACTACTACTACCAATATTACTATTACTACTACTACTGCTGTTAGTACTACTACTACCAATATTACTATTACTACTACTGCTGCTGTTGGTACTACTACTATTACTATTACTACTACTACTACTGCTGTTGCTACTACTACTACCAGTATTACTATTACTACTACTACTGTTAGTACTACTACTACTTATGGCCCGGCGGCCTGGTGGCTAAAGCTCCCGCTTCACACACGGAGGGCCCGGGTTCGATTCCCGGCGGGTGGAAAACATTTCGACACGTTTCCTTACACCTGTTGTCCTGTTCACCTAGCAGCAAATAGGTACCTGGGTGTTAGTCGACTGGTGTGGGTCGCATCCTGGGGGACAAGATTGAGGACCCAATGGAAATAAGTTAGACAGTCCTCGATGACGCACTGACTTTCTTGGGTTATCCTGGGTGGCTAACCCTCCGGGGTTAAAAATCAAAACGAAATCTTATCTTATCTATCTTACTACTACTACTGCTGTTAGTACTACTACCAGTATTACTATTACTACTACTACTGCTGTTAGTACTACTACCAGTATTACTATTACTACTACTACTGCTGTTAGTACTACTACTACCAATATTACTATTACTACTACTACTACTGCTGTTAGTACTACTACTACCAATATTACTATTACTACTACTACTGCTGTTAGTACTACTACTACCAATATTGCTATTACTACTACTACTACTGCTGTTAGTGCTACTACTACCAATATTACTATTACTACTACAACTACTGCTTTTAGTACTACTACTCCTACCAATATTACTAATAATACTACTGCTGTTAGTACTATTACTACCAATATTACTATTACTACTACTACTGCTGTTAGTACTACTACTACCAATATTACTGTTACTACTACTGCTGCTGTTAGTACTACTACTACCAATATTAATGTTACTACTACTACTGCTGTTAGTACTACTACTACCAATATTACTGTTACTACTACTGCTGCTGTTAGTACTGCTACTATCAATATTACTATTACTACTACTACTGCTGTTAGTACTGCTACTACCAATATTACTATTACTAGTACTACTGCTGTTAGTACTGCTACTACCAATATTACTATTACTACTACTGCTGTTAGTACCACTACTACCAATATTACTATTACTACTACTACTGCTGTTAGTACTACTACTACCAATATTACTATTACTACTACTACTTCTGTTAGTACTACTACTACCAATATTACTATTACTACTACTGCTGCTGTTAGTACTACTACTACCAATATTACTGTTACTACTACTGCTGCTGTTAGTACTACTACTTCTACCAATTTACTGTTACTACTACTACTGCTGTTAGTACTGCTACTACCAATATTACTATTACTACTACTACTGCTGTTAGTACTACTACTACCAATATTACTGTTACTACTACTGCTGCTGTTAGTACTGCTACTACCAATATTACTATTACTACTACTACTGCTGTTAGTACTACTACTACCAATATTACTGTTACTACTACTACTGCTGTTAGTACTACTACTACCAATATTACTATTACTACTACTACTGCTGTTAGTACTACTACTACCAATATTACTAATACTACTACTACTGCTGTTAGTACTACCTACTACCATATTACATTACTACTACTATGCTGTTAGTACTACTACTACCAATATTACTATTACTACTACTACTGCTGTTAGTACTACTACTACCAATATTACTATTACTACTACTACTGCTGTTAGTACTACTTCTACCAATATTACTATTACTACTACTACTGCTGTTAGTACTACTACTACCAATATTACTATTACTACTACTGCTGTTAGTACTACTACTACCAATATTACTATTACTACTACTACTGCTGTTAGTACTACTACTACCAATATTACTATTACTACTACTACTGCTGTTAGTACTACTACTACCAATATTACTATTACTACTACTACTGCTGTTAGTACTACTACTACCAATATTACTATTACTACTACTACTGCTGTTAGTACTACTACTACTACCAATATTACTATTACTACTACTACTGCTTCTGCTGTTAGTACTACTACTACTGCTGCTGCTGCTGCTGCTGCTGCTACTACTTCTATTGCTCCTGCTACTACTACTACTACTACTACTTCTACTACCACTACTGTTACTACTATGGCTTCAACTATTACTACTGCTAATACTACGACTTCTACTAATTATTATTATTATTATTATTATTATTATTATTATTATTATTATTATTATTATTATTATTTAATGATTGTTATTGTTGTTGCTGCTGTTATTGTTAAAAATAATATTAACAGTCATACAGCTAAATTTACATAACATATCAACTAATATTATTACAGTTGTATAATGTTTATTATTACAGTTGTATAATGTTTATTATTACAGTTGTATAATGTTTATTATTACAGTTGTATAATGTTTATTATTACAGTTGTATAATGTTTATTATTACAGTTGTATAATGTTTATTATTACAGTTGTATAATGTTTATTATTACAATTGTATAATGTTTATTATTACAGTTGTATAATGTTTATTCTGAAAATAAATATTTAATTTTTTTTATTTTCGTTTCTTTTTCATTATTTTATTAAGTGTAAAAAACGAGACGAGAAAAATGGTCAATATTTTCTTATATTTTAATTTTTAAACCGTTAAACCAAGTGTTAAGTTATATAGAAATAGTTAAGTAAAAATTTGTATTAGTATTTTTAATTAAATCTTTATGTATACAGTAATGTGTATATTGATGTATTTAAAGATGTTCGTCTTTAATTATTCTGGTTCACATCTTTACGTCTTATCCTTCCATGCAAATATTTTCTGATTGTGTTGTTTTATAATAACACATTTTTCCTATGTGCTAATTGTATTGAAGCCCTGACTTAAACCCTCATTGAAGCCTTGACTTAAACCCTCATTGAAGCCTTGACTTAAACCCTCATTGAAGCCCTGACTTAAACCCTCATTGAAGCCCTGACTTAAACCCTCATTGAAGCCCTGACTTAAACCCTCATTGAAGCCTTGACTTAAACCCTCATTGAAGCCTTGACTTAAACCCTCATTGAAGCCCTGACTTAAACACTCATTGAAGCCCTGACTTAAACCCTCATTGAAGCCCTGACTTAAACCCTCATTGAAGCCCTAACTTAAACCCTCATTGAAGCCTTGACTTAAACCCTCATTGAAGCCCTAACTTAAACCCTCATTGAAGCCCTGACTTAAACCCTCATTGAAGCCCTGACTTAAACCCTCATTGAAGCCTTGACTTAAACCCTCATTGAAGCCCTGACTTAAACCCTCATTGAAGCCTTGACTTAAACCCTCATTGAAGCCCTGACTTAAACCCTCATTGAAGCCCTGACTTAAACCCTCATTGAAGCCCTGACTTAAACCCTCATTGAAGCCCTGACTTAAACCCTCATTGAAGCCTTGGCTTAAACCCTCATTGAAGCCCTGACTTAAACCCTCATTGAAGCCCTGACTTAAACCCTCATTGAAGCCTTGGCTTAAACCCTCATTGAAGCCTTGACTTAAACCCTCATTGAAGCCCTGACTTAAACCCTCATTGAAACCTTGACTTAAACCCTCATTGAAGCCATGACTTAATAAACCCTCATTGAAGCCCTGACTTAAACCCTCATTGAAGCCTTGACTTAATAAACCCTCATTGAAACCCTGACTTAATAAACCCTCATTGAAGCCCTGACTTAAACCCTCATTGAAGCCCTGACTTAAACCCTCATTGAAGCCTTGACTTAATAAACCCTCATTGAAGCCCTGACTTAAACCCTCATTGAAGCCCTGACTTTAACCCTCATTGAAGCCTTGACTTAATAAACCCTCATTGAAGCCCTGAATTAATAAACCCTCATTGAAGCCCTGAATTAATAAACCCTCATTGAAGCCCTGACTTAATAAACCCTCATTGAAGCCCTGACTAAAACCCTCATTGAAGCCTTGACTTAAACCCTCATTGAAGCCCTGACTTAATAAACCCTCATTGAAGCCTTGACTTAATAAACCCTCATTGAAGCCCTGACTTAATAAACCCTCATTGAAGCCCCTGACTTAAAAACCTCTCATTGAACCCCTTGACTTAATAAACCCTCATTGAAGCCCTGACTAAAACTCTCATTGAAGCCTTGACTTAATAAACCCTCATTGAAGCCCTGACTTAATAAACCCTCATTGAAGCCTTGACTTAATAAACCCTCATTGAAGCCCTGTCTTAATAAACCCTCATTGAAGCCCTGACTTAATAAACCCTCATTGAAGCCTTGACTTAATAAACCCTCATTGAAGCCCTGACTTAATAAACCCTCATTGAAGCCCTGACTTAATAAACCCTCATTGAAGCCTTGACTTAATAAGCCCTCATTTAAGCCCTGATTTAATAAAGCCTCATTTAAGCCCTGATTTTTCCTCCTTACTCAAGCTAAATATTTCTGTATACTTCGCCGCATTTGATGTTTCTCTGTTACTTTACCATTAAATTATTTCCGCTTATACCTGTTCTTAAATGTTGTTGAAAATCTTGCAGGAAGTGAAGGAGGAGCAGCAGCAGCACCTGCAGCAGCAGCACCTGCAGCAGCAGCACCTGCAGCAGCAGCATCAGGAGGGACCAGAGTACATCGGTGACGCCGCTGACAACGTCGAAGGTAGAAAGATGGAGATGAGTGTCTTACATGAAACTCTGCAGCATCAGCAGCAGATGGCACTTGCTGCCCGGGCACTACTTGGCACTCTGGCATCCCCAGAAGTGCCGCCTCCACTCCTCTCCTTCTCACATCGTCTGCAACCTGAGAGTGAGTAGCGTTCCAGAGCACCTGACCTGTGTGTGTGTGTGTGTGTGTGTGTGTGTGTGGTGTGTGTGTGTGTGTGTGTGTGTGTGTGTGTGTGTGTGTGTGTGTGTATACTCACCTAATTGTACTCACCTAATTGTGGTTGCAGGGGTCGAGAATAAGCTCCTGGCCCCGCCTCTTCACTGAGTGCTACTAGGTCCTCTCTCCCTGCTCACGAGTTTTATCATACCTCATCTTAAAGCTATGTATGGTTCCACATGGTGGAATAGCCCACATGGTGGGCTATTCCACTTCCTGACTACTCTGTGACTGAAGAAATGCTTCCTAACATCCCTTTGACTCATCTGGGTCTTCAACTTCCTATTGTGTCCCCTTGTATCTGTGTCCCCTCTCTGGAATATCCTGTCTCTGTCCCCTTGTCCATTCCACGCAGTATTTTGCATGTCGTCATCATGTCTCCCATAACCCTCCTGTCCTCTAGTGTCTTCAGGCCGATTTAAGAACATTAAAACATAAGAAAGAAGGAACACTGCAACAGGCCTACTGACCCATGGGGAGCAGGTCCATTCCCCTTCCTCCCCGGATTAGCTGAATGACCCACCCAGTCTGGTCACCTCCACTCAATGATGGAGCACTGCACCAGACCCAGCAGCACAAGATAGTCAGGTCCAACTCACACCCACTCACACCCACTCATGTATTTATCTAACCTATTTTTAAAACTACACAACGTTTTAGCCTCAATAACTGTACTTGGGAGTTTGTTCCACTCATCCACAACTCTATTACCAAACCAGCACTTTCTTATATCCTTCCTGAATCTGAATTTTTCCAACTTGAAACCATTGCTGCGAGTCCTGTCTTGGCTGGAAATTTTCACCACGCTATTTACATCCCCTTTATTTATTCCTGTTTTCCATTTATGCACCTCGATCATATCCCCCCTAATTCTACGCCATTTTAGAGAGTGCAGATTCAGGGCCCTCAGTCTGTCCTCACATAGAAGATTTCTGATACATGGGATCATCTTTGTCATCCTCCTCTGTAATTTTTCCAGAGCATTTATATCCATCTGTAATACGGTGACCAGAACTGAGCAGCATAGTCTAAATGAGGCCTAACCAAGGATATATAGAATTGAAGAACAACCTAAGGACTTCTATTATTTATACTTCTAGAAATGAAGCCAAGGATTCTGTTAGCTTTATTGCGAACACTAATGCACTGTTGTCTTGGTTTTAGATTAATGCTAACCAGAACTCCTAAATCCTTTTTGCAATCAGTAGTATTAAGATCTACATTATTTAGTTTATATGTCGCATGGTTATTTTCCTGTCCAACATTTAGAACTTTGCATTTGTCTATATTAAACTGCATCTGCCACTTCTCCGACTATTGCATCAGTCTATTCAAATCATCCTGGAGTGCTCTAGTGTCCTCATTAGAATGAATTGGTAGGCCTATTTTGGCGTCATCAGCAAATTTGCTTATGTCGCTATTTATTCCCTCATCTATGTCGTTTATGTAAATTGTGAACAACAATGGGACCAACACTGATCCCTGTGGAACACCGCTTGTGACGTGCCCCCATTCTGATTTCTCCCCATTTATGCAAACTCTCTGCTGTCTATTTGTCAGCCATGCCTCTACCCAGGAAAAAAATTCTCCTCCTATTCCGTGTGCCTTAAGTTTCCTCAATAGCCTCTGATGTGGAACCCCTCAGGGTAGGTTCCTTGATGTTGGTGAGGGGCTCTTGATTTAGAGAATTGGATCTGTGCTCCAGTTCCCCGAATTAAGCCTGAATGCCTTCCACATCCCCCCCCCCAGGCGCTGTATAATCCTACGGGTTTAGCGCCTCCCCCTTGATTATAATAATAATCTGATGTGGAACTCTATTGAAGTCCATATACACAATATCATATTCGTTACCATGATCTACCTCCTCAAACACCTTAGTGAAAAAAGTTAGTAAATTCGTAAGACAGGAACGCCCCTTTGTAAAACCGTGTTGAGATTCATTAATCAATCTGTGCTAATCAAGATGGCTACGAATTGCTTCGGCAATTATTGATTCCATATATTTTCCCACTATGGATATAGGCTTATTGGTCTATAGTTCGAAGCTAATGGCCTGTCACCTGCCTTCTAAATAGGTATTACATTTGCCATTTTCCATCTATCAGGCGCTATGCCAGTTTGTAGTGATATGTTAAAAAGATTATCCAAAAGTATGCTAAGTTCCTCTTTACATTCCTTTAACACCCTAGCAAACAGTTCATCAGGACCTGGGGATTTGTTAGGTTTTAGTTTCTCTATTTGTCTGAAAACCATGTCACTAGTTACCGCAATCGTGCATAGTTTATTATCGTCCTGTTCTACGTAATCTATTATTTCAGGAATATCGTTAGTATTTTCCTGGGTGAAAACTGAGACGAAGTAGGTATTGAGAATTTCACACATATCCTTATCACTGTCAGTGATCTGACCAGAGTTACTCTTAAGTGGGCCTATCTTGTCCCTAATCTTACTTCTGTATACCTGAAAGAACCCTTTTGGGTTAGTCTTTGAATCCCTTGCGACCTTAGCCTCATAATCTCTTTTTGCTTTTCTTATTCCTTTCTTTATTTCTCTCTTTAATTGAATATATTGATTTCTTAACTCCCCATCCCCTCTTTTGATACACCTATATATGCCTCTAAAAAAGTCATATTGGGAACCAAGATCACCTACCTGACCCAGAGTCAGGACATCCCAATTTTGCCCACCCAGGTAATTTTTCAGTCCCATGAAGGCGGCCAAGCGAAATCTGGACAGAGATTTGATGCAGTTATCTGGGTAATTCATGATAGATTGAAACCAAATGTTATGCACTTTCCCCAAGCTCTATCATTAACCTCAAGATTATTATTATGACTCCTTTGTTGGCAGAACCAGTCAACAGATTGTTTCTCTAGTTGAGTTCTGTCACTAACTGTCTAAAAAACACTGTAACCGTATCAAGAAAGTCACATAGACTCAAGATTTCCTGTCATATTGTTCCAATCATTTTCTAAAGTTAAATTCTCCCATTAACACAAATTCCAGTATCTAGATTCCACTATCATTATCATTCATCCCATGAACAGCATACTGCACTCCCTATCAAGGTTGGGTGCCTATAATCACGCCCAAATTTAATTTGTCAAACCCTCAAGAAACGAAGCCACAATTCTTGTCGATGTTCTAATCTTATATCATGTCAAATAATAAATTCTCTGACTACACGCCTCCACACCTTCTTTGCCTTATCATTGAAATATTTATCTCTGTATTTGCTTCAGAAGCATCTCTATCTTTCAGTTGAACCAGGTCTCTGTTATACAATAATATTTATATTCCCACACTTGCAGTAATCTTAGTTACTATATATTTCTTAAAATCCTATATTTGAAGGCAACCTTAAGGAATAGTCACCTCTGCGCTCTACTATTCCTGTTGTTGATCAATTTTTGCCCAAATCAGCAACTTTATTTTGAATACTGTCTTTTAAACTTATCCCTGAGGTATCCCGGTAATAACTTCTGTTTTTAGCCCTAATACTGCAGCCTGATTGTTTCCCACAAACACCCATACCTCTATAATCTATCAGTTCAAATTCCTAGACAAGTCATCATTTACCCTCTCAATCGAATTGGCTAATGCAACCACTCCATCCCCAGAGAGATGAACCCCATTCCTTGCATACATATCACATTTGCCATAGAATAGGCCCCAGTTATCAATGAATGGGATTGCAAGTTCCTTGCAGTACCTGTCTAGCCAGTCAGTTGTCCTAGACATCCATTCATTGCCCACTCCCTTTCTAGGCAAGATGCTACATATGACTGGGACCCCTTCCTTAGACCTGGATACTTCTATTGCTGACCTGTACTTATCCAGCAGCTCCTGTCTCTTGCCCTTCCCAATGTCATTATCCCCAGCACTAAGACAGATAATGAGCTTGTTCCCATTACCTGACATAATATTATCCAACCTGCTGACTATGTCACCAACACTAGCTCCTGGAAAGCACACCCTCTGTCTGACCTTTTTGTCTTTGTTACAAAATGCACAGTCCATATATTTTAAATGATAATCTCCTACAATTAAAATGTTCTTACCTTGATCAGCAGGGGAAACAGTGATACCTTCAACCTCACTAACCACTGAAGTGCACTTGTCCTGGAGAACAGAGAATCGGTTTCCTACCTTCACATCTTCTCTGTTAACCCTCCTTATCTTCCTTCTTCCTGAACTGTGAACCACTTGCCACTTAAAGCGGCACTGCTGGTGACCATTTCCTCCTTACCAGCTAAATCCTTCTCACACTCACTCCCAAATTGAGATTCTAAAACACTACAACCAGCCATGGTGCTTGGTAACACCCCACGCTAACTCTCAGAGAGGTTAGGACAGGTATGACAGCAGATGACCACAGACCTCAGCGTAGGACATTCTCCTTAGCTATGGAACTAACCTTGTCGCAAACCTTTGCACTTTCTCTAATTTCTTGACGTGCTTGATCAAGTGTGGGTTCCAAACAGGTGCTGCATACTCCAGTATGGGTCTGACGTACACGGTGTACAGTGTCTTGAACGATTCCTTACTAAGATACCGGAACGCTACTCTCAGGTTTGCCAGGCGCCCATATGCTGCATCAGTTATCTTGTTGATATGTGCTTCCGGAGACGTGCTAGGTGTTATACTCACCCCAAGATCTTTCTCCTTGAGCGAGGCTTGCAGTCTTTGGCCACCTAGCCTGTACTTCGTCTGCAGTCTTCTTTGCCCTTCCCCGATCTTCATGACTTTGCATTTGGCGGGGTTAAATTCGAGAAGCGAGTTGCTGGACCAGGTGTCTTTGAAGTCCTTCCTGATCCTCATCTGATTTAATTCTCCTCACGTCATCTGCAAACAGGGACACTTCTGAGTCTAACCCTTCCATCACGTCATTCACATTTACCAGAAAGAGCACTGGTCCTAGGACCGACCCCTGTGGGACCCCGCTTGTCACAGGTGCCTACTGTGATACCTCATCACGTACTATGACTCGTTGTTGCCTCCCTGTCAGGTATTCTCTGATCCATTGCAGTGCCCTTCCTGTTATATGCGCCTGATCCTGTAGCTTCTGCACCAATCTCCTGTGAGGAACTGTGCCAAAGCCTTCTTGCAGTCCAAGAAGATGCAATCAGCTCACCCCTCTCTCTCGTGTCTTACTTACTTCTGTTACTTTATCATAAAACTCCAGTAGGTTTGTGATACAGGATTTTCCTTCCATAAATCCGTGCTGGTTGGCGTTTATACTCTTGTTTCCGTTCCAGGCACTCCACTACTCTCCTCCTGATAATCTTCTCCATGACTGTGTGTGTGTGTGTGTGTGTGTGTGTGTGTGTGTGTGTGTGTGTGTGTGTGTGTGTGTGTGTGTGTGTGTGTGTTTGTGTGTGTGTTTGTGCTTGTGTGTGTGTTTGTGTGTGTGTACTCACCTAGTTGAGGTTGCAGGGGTCGAGTCCGAGCTCCTGGCCCCGCCTCTTCACTGGTCGCTACTAGGTCACTCTCCCTGAACCGTGAGCTTTATCATACCTCTGCTTAAAGCTATGTATGGATCCTGCCTCCACTACATCGCTTCCCAAACTATTCCACTTCCTGACTACTCTGTGGCTGAAGAAATACATCATAACAACCCTGTGATTCATCTGTGTCTTCAACTTCCAACTGTGTCCCCTTGTTACTGTGTCCAATCTCTGGAACATCCTGTCTTTGTCCACCTTGTCAATTCCTCTCAGTATTTTGTATGTCGTTATCATGTCCCCCCTATCTCTCCTGTCCTCCAGTGTCGTCAGGTTGATTTCCCTTAACCTCTCCTCGTAGGACATACCTCTTAGCTCTGGGACTAGTCTTGTTGCAAACCTTTGCACTCTCTCTAGTTTCTTTACGTGCTTGGCTAGGTGTGGGTTCCAAACTGGTGCCGCATACTCCAATGTGGGCCTAACGTACACGGTGTACAGGGTCCTGAACGATTCCTTATTAAGATGTCGGAATGCTGTTCTGAGGTTTGCTAGGCGCCCATATGCTGCAGCCGTTATTTGGTTGATGTGCGCTTCAGGAGATGTGCCTGGTGTTATACTCACCCCAAGATCTTTTTCCTTGAGTGAGGTTTGTAGTCTCTGGCCCCCGAGACTGTACTCCGTCTGCGGTCTTCTTTGCCCTTCCCCAATCTTCATGACTTTACACTTGGTCGGATTGAACTCCAGGAGCCAATTGCTGGACCAGGTCTGCAGCCTGTCCAGATCCCTTTGTAGTTCTGCCTGGTCTTCGATCGAGTGAATTCTTTTCATCAACTTCACGTCATCTGCAAACAGGGACACCTCGGAGTCTATTCCTTCCGTTATGTCGTTCACGAATACCAGAAACAGCACTGGTCCTAGGACTGACCCCTGTGGGACCCCGCTGGTTACAGGTGCCCACTCTGACACCTCGCCACGTACCATGACTCGCTGCTGTCTTCCTGACAAGTATTCCCTGATCCATTGTAGTGCCTTCCCTGTTATCCCTGCTTGGTCCTCCAGTTTTTGCACTAATCTCTTGTGTGGAATTGTGTCAAACGCCTTCTTGCAGTGTGTGTGTGTGTGTGTGTGTGTGTGTGTGTGTGTGTGTGTGTGTGGTGTGTGTGTGTGTGTGTGTGTGTGTGTATGTGTGTGTGCCTGCCTGCCTCTCCTCCACTTAACGCTTCTCTCACCACTAAGCTTTACACAAATGTTTTAAGTCTCCTTCAGTTTGCACAAGGTGGTTATAATCTTATAAATAACAACTTTTTTTATTAGTTTAGTATGTGAAGTTAACCTGGTAAAGATTTCTCTCGGACACTTGTGCTCAGTACGTAAGTTTCTTTGAGTATCTTGTGTAAACCTTGAACTCCGAAGAGTTTAGTGTATACCTTTATAGAGTTTCGAGAGTTTCTCTACTCTCTGAGCCCGGCCATGGGTCAGGCTCGTCTGGTGCTTGTGTATGCAATAAGCTTTGAGCTTACTGAGCTTTGAGAGAGTAGCACTTTCCAGCATATAAAAGTGAAATAGGTATTAGAACAGTGGTCATATTTTAATGGTAAATCTGCTCTAAAACGTTTCTAGTTTATTGCTAAAACACCGACAATGAATCGTGTTGATTCCAGTAAACGTGAGGTTAAAAAAAAACTATCGTCAGAAGAATCCTGACTAGATCAGATCTAAAAGTTAAACTTATTGCAGAGGTGGGTGGTAGCACGAGTCTGATGGTACGAGCCCTGGCTAGTACCACCCCAAGACGACCCCGCGGCGAGAAGAAACCAATACCAGAGACGCTGAAGGATGACAAGTACTACGAAAGACGCAAAAGGAACAATCTTGCAGCCAAAAAGTCTCGTGATGCCAGGAAGCAGCGAGAGGATCAGGTGAGTCACACAGCAGGATCTTACTGGATCAGGTGTGTCATACAGGATCTTACTGGATCAGGTGAGTCGTACAGGATCTTACTGGATCAGGTGAGTCGTACAGGATCTTACTGTATCAGGTGAGTCATACAGGATCCTGGAACAGGTAAGTCACGCAGGATTCTACTGGATCAAGGGAACCTTGTAGGTCACTTATAGATCAGTGGGGGTCTTTTAGGATTCTTCTGAAATGTCAGTGTGTTTGCCTCGTAATTATTGGATGGAGGATCGAGCCTCTACCACTCACTGTGTTAAATAACCCACATTGGGTAAATTATGCTTCGGATACAGTATTGCCAATGGTAGGTAGCGACCTATAGACCGGTCAATATACCATTAGGACAAAAAATTCAAATAAAAGATTAATCCACGGTTTCTGGCCCAACTAGCCCAAAGGCCGTTGACAAAAAAGGCGATCAGAATCTGATCACTTGTGCAACATTCATATCAGACATTATGTGTATTCTTTTTTCAAGTCTACAACTCCAGATGAAAGGATCAATATCATTTTTACATTGAGAAATATCATCACTTGTATGACGGGGATAGAGAATATGAATACGAAACCATTGGAAAAAAAAATGGAGATAATTAGACAACTGGTGTTTTTTTTCTTTTTTCGAGAGAAAAAACAAAACCAATTCCCTAGAAATTCATTTGTCATAGTTGCTCCTGACAGAATCATTTATCCTAGCCTATTGTTCCAGCGATTCCCTGTAGTGAACAGGACAGGAGATCTCTCTCTCTGTAGAGGAGATGATGAAATATGAGCTGAGTCCATACCCGTCATTTTTTCTTGAGGACAAATATACCTTGAGGAAGGTTGTCAATCCTCATCTACCGTAAGTTATCGATGTCCATATTAATAAGATACCATCAAGTGAAGCGACATCAAGTACTATCCCGAAAACTGTTAGATACGTGCTTGATGGAGGCTCTTTACTCCTCAATATGAAGTGAAGGAGGGAAAATACCTATTGTAAAATAGCCAAGGTATATGCTGCCTGTACAAGTAAAGTCAGTTTATGTCCCACAGTGGTTACAAGTAAGCATTATGGGACAACAACTGCTGTGTTTGGGGCAGGTTTCCGATAAAAGATAAAAGATAACGCATACTAGAGATGGCGGCAAACAAGGAAGAATAACCGCATAAAAATGGAGGAACACTGCTGAAGGCCTACCGGCCCATACTAGGCAAGTCATCCCCAGAACCAAATCCAGTAACAAAAATATTTGCACAACCCTTTTTCATTGCTTCCAGAAGAATAAGCTATGATTACCCTATTAACTCATGAGCAAGTCTCACTCATGTCCGTCCCCTCTCACTCATGGAGAAGTAACAAACAGGGATAAACTGATGAAAGCTTTTCTTTTAAAAGGGGACATTGATGTAGACATCAATAAGACCGTTGTTAACAATGTAAGTGGACATTTCCACCACGCTGATTACAAAGGGCACTGACTTCTTTATTCGTTTTTTTTTCCATTAGTCTACTACAAATGACATATCACTGTATTTTAGATCTGACAGTCAGTTGAGAGTCATTCCAAAAGTGTACAACAACAACTACCTAAAGCATGATCCTGGAAGTGAGTTGTGTACATAATTGTTATTTCTTCATATTTTCACAGGATGAAATTCAACATCCTGTGTTTATGGTGCGGGAAAGAAATCAATCTTCTAAAAATTCGTGAAAGGTATTCCTGTCCTTCAATCCTGTGCAAATGCATTCACTTTACCAGGCAAGACCCACAAAGAAAAACCCTCGATAGGCAAGCGATGGCTGTCTTATATTACCTGGAGTTTACCTGGAGAGGGTTCCGGAGGTCACCCCCCCGCCCCCGCCCCCGCCCCGCCCCCGCCCCCGCCCCCGCTGTTCAGTCTGAGACCAGGAAAAAGCGCGTGTTTTCTGACAGCCTTGCGTTTATAACATGTTGACTTAAGAAAATCGTCTCTGCAAAGTCATTTATTATAAGTGAACGCCTTCCCCGGTTGAATCCTACATTAAATTCCATCGTCTTAGGATACACTATATCAGACTATAACATGGATAGGGATGAAGAGTATCACTGACCCTCTGAACTGAGGGTCAATGATACTCTTGTACCCATAATGTCTGATGTTAATGCTACACCTTGCACTATTGAAAATGGAACATTGCAACTGTAAAAAATGGTTGCAGCAACCTCCTCCCTTTCCTTCCGGCTGCGGTTGCAGAGAATGAGCTTCCATGTACTTCTTCAGGTGGATGATGCCAATTTACGTCCTGTGGAAACCCACACAACCAGCTTTCACAGCAACAAGAGTGTGGAAGCGCAACAGTTAACTTTTGTTTTACTGTTGCATTTAGTATGATTTTAAAAATAGATAGTGATTTTCGGCATAACAAGATTTTGCGATGAGCAATTCAGTACGCTGTCAGAAATACATTTCTCTCGAACACGTCATGAATGTTATTCTTAAAAATAAAATTTGTTTGCATATTTTGGCTCTAATACTGTTTTAAGGTGAAATGAAATGGAAGTTATTGGTACTAATGTCTTATATACAGGATTGTTTACCGCAGTCTTTCATTTAATGGTATGATTAGTATGTTGGTACCAATGGCTTCACTGACCCTTAAAACCCGGTTTGATACCTAAATAATTGTGCCTTCCCGATTTTGAAAATCAGTGGCGGCCATCTTGGAACTGACCCCACTTTTCGGTCGTCAGATTTTGGTAGACTTCTTTCTCTGTCGTTTCAACATTTTGCCAGATTTTTTAGGGCTACGTATTTTTTCATAATCGCCCCCTTCTTGCCCTTCCCCCCAGTTAATACACCTGTGTGAGGAAAATGCATTAAGGTATATAATAGACTCAGAGGAATGACGGGAAGATCTCGATGTTTGGAACGACTCGCGGTATTTACTGGGATGACACAAGGAATCGTCTTTTGATTGGAACCCCCTGAAGGGAGGTTCCTTGATGCTGGTGAGGGGCTCTTGATCTAGGGAATTGGATCTGTGCACCGGTTCCCTGAATTGAGCCTGAATACCTTCCACCTCCTCCCCACATTAGCTGTATAATCCTACGGGTTTAGCGCTTCACCATGATTATAATAATAATTTGATTGGGACATTTGACAACAGATAGATTTAATAATTCTTGTGAACTTTTGTTACACATAGGAATTTTTTATGTTTTTTTTTTAGAGTTTTCTCGCAACTTTTAAAATATTTTGTTTAGTATTAAGCTGCCGTACAGTTGCACTTGTTGAATGAGCTAAATAACTTGTAACAGGTCAGCACTTGCTTATTTTGAGTATCTTAATGATGCCAACCGTATCTGGTGGCTTGATACTGGCAAGTGTTTGGGTTTCCAAACCCACATCCACAAAATACACATGTGTCTTATTCCTCATTGTTTGGTACCGGCGTGTGAATGACATCTTCACACTGTATGTTCTTATATATGTGGAAAAAGACACTATGTACAGTTTAGGAAATATATTAGAGGAAACGTTTCGCCCCGAGTGGCTTAATCAGTAAGTTGAATCACATTTACCTTGAATCTGGGTTAAAGTAGAATTGGAATAAAGTAACTAATTACCGCACTGGACTCCTCCCCATCATAAAACTAGTCTACCAACCAAGTACCTCCCCTCCCATCATGCGGGTTCTCCTTACCTTAGTGACGATAAATTCTTCACATGATCAACCTTCCTTTATAATAAGTCTCTGCTGAAGTCACACGTTGTCTCTGAAGATGACCTCAAAAGTCAAAATATGCAAACAATCTATCTCGTTTCTGTCTCTATTGACATTTTATCTCTCGTTGTTCATGTCTTATTAAACTCTGACGCATCAACAAGATTTTTATACGCAGAATATTTTTAAATACAATAGCTGCGTAAAAATTTTTCCAGTAGGCTCTTCAGTTAAGTCTTTGGTTTTTCCCTCAGGTTGCCATCCGCGCCAGCATCTTGGAGAAGGAAAACGCCATCTTACGTGCCCAGGTGGCTACCCTCAGAGACGAGGCCGCCTCCCTCAGACAACTTCTCTTTCAGAAGAAAACCAGACGCCAGTAGCCTCAGAAGGCCGAGTTACAGAAGCACACTTGGTTATTGTGATAATCCTCGGACGTAGTAGACTGCAGTCTGGACGGATGCTGGTTTCATTGTAGAAAATATATATTTTTTACATTGTATTTATTTTAGAACGTGGGGTGGTAATGAAGTGTTAAACAACGAACGGAAGAAATTTGAGACCGTTGGGAATAACAAGCTGTCGTATACATGATGAATATTATATTGAGGGTACCGATGGAAATGCAGTTCATTTACATGGGTCTTTTATCCAAAGTGGCAGAACTTATCAGCACCAATAGCGTCAGCTGCAGGTCAGATACCAAATACACAGGACCTGGTCCATCAAACACCACCCCCACAGGACCTGGTCTGTCAGACACCATCCACACAGGACCTGGTCTGTCAAACACCACCCACACAGGACCTGGTCTGTCAGACACCACCCACACAGGACCTGGTCTGTCAGACTCCACCCACACAGGACCTGGCCTGTAGCTTCACACTAGACTCGCAGGCGGCTAGCGTGACCACTTAGATTAAGGTTTCAGGAGAGAATTTTATTTTTGCAACGAAAGTGGCCACAGGAAAAGGTCCACCTGGCCAGCGTGTGACTGCACCATGGCTCCATTGCCAATTTTGTAATGTGTATTGATAACACAGATTTCCCCTTCCCCTTTTAGCACGTTTGGATATTTTTCTAACACAGAATTTAGTCTATTAATAATGACGAAAGAACCTATTGG